GAAAGGTGATAGTTCCTAGTTCCCAGGCCAGCTGCAGGATTTAGAGAGGGGTAGCCATATCGAAAGGAGGGCTAACATCCATGTTCCTTAAGATCTCTAGCTTTACTGAGATCTGTCTCACGTAGTGTTTTTCATGAAGTTGTATGGCCATGGATTTTACTGTTTCAGGAACATTTCATTCCTCCCACAGAAACTCAGTAACAAAAGTCTTTCACTCCTGATTCTCCCCACCCTTCTTACCCCTAAATAACCTTTAACCTCCCCCCGTTTGTCCGTGCTAAGCATGCCTTATAAGAGGAATCACATATGTGACCTTTGGTGTCTGTCTTCTTTCAGGTTGCATAATGTTTTCAAGGTTCATTTACATTATAATATGAGTTTATAGTTCACTTCTTTTTGTGGCTTAGTAATTTTCCATTGTGTTGATATACCACATTTTGATTATCTGTTAAGCAATTGATGGATGTGGTTTGTTTCTACCTTTCGGTGATTATGAATAATTCTGTTAATGAGCATTCAGGTACAAGTTTTTCATGGATCTTTCCTTTCTCTTGGGTACTTATCTTGGTGTAAATTGCTGGACCATGAAACTGTATTTTTAACTCTTTGGGGATCCACCAGGCAATTTTTTTTCCAAGCTGAATGAACCATCTTACGTTCCCTCCAGTAGAATGTAAGGGTTTTTCTAGAGACCTTAACATTGGACCTGAGTTTAAACCCATAGAACCAGAGTCTATCTGAGGGCTCCATTATAAGATTCTGTGATTTCTTATCCCAGCTTAGATCCCTAGGCCCCATGTCACCCAGAACTTGCCTATACTGCAAAGATTATGGATAGCTTCTCAAGAGCACATTCACCTGAGAGAAAGCCCTAGTTCAGCTTCTCTCTTTCCTTGCCCTGCCCTGGTAGCAATTCTGGTGGGGGATTCTGGAAGTACTTGTACCCTCCTTTCTATAATCCCAAACACCTCATGAGCCTCAGTCTCTAGTGGCAGTGAGCATGGAACCAGCCTAGTATCCTGAACCTTGGCCAGTGTTTCTAAGGCTGGTGTGTCGCTGCATGTTCTTTGAACTTACACTGTGAGTCTGATTGTGCTGAGGTCAGCAGGGCAGATGCATAACCTTTTGGATAACGCTTACCTCGAAGTCAGTGTTAATGTTGCTCCCAGAAACCCTTCAGGGATGATCCATGGACATGAGGCCTTGAGAAATATTCTTAACAGATCCATAACCCAACAAAACTCCATGTTTCCATCTTCAGGATGATTCCTGTGTGTGAGCTGAGAGTGCTCCCAACTCATTCCACTGTGACACTATTCCTGGAAAAATGTGAACAGACAGACACCCAAAAACACACCAAAATGACAATACCACCAAATTCCAACTTGGTGAAACAATGAATTCACTGGAGTTACTTACAGGCACTTGGATGACTCAAGGGTGAAAACTCACAAAAGATGGAACCCTAGGGCTCTCTAAATGACTTCCAGGCAACTCAGCAGGTGGGGGCACTTCCTCTCTTCAGCAGTCCTTGCTGCTTAGGAAGGGAGGAACCTTTTGAATCTGTTAGGTTTTAGGAACTTCCTGAGACTTGTGAGTTGTTTTCTTCCCAAGTCTTAATTTCAGAGGGAATTGTTCTACAATAGGAACAGTTGTTCTTCCTGGGATCCTCAACTGTACCAGATTCCTTGCTGTAGCCCAGGTAGTTTCTCTCATCCTTGTTCACAATCTTCCCATGTGTCTTCTCATCCCACTCCTACCCCTTAGGTAGCTGTAAGAGAAAATCATGAATGCATATTTTTTTTTACATGTTATTAGGTGATTTCTTATTCCTGGCATAAAGATGGGGTATTTTGGTTTGTTCGTTAGTTTGTTTTTACTGTTTCACTCTTCATGCTGAATTTCCTTAAAATAAAAAAGTGCACCCTTTCCACATGTAGAGACAAGGTCATGATACTGCTGTGCCCTTTCAAGCCTCTGACAGGTATCACTCACCAGTAACAACACTTTTCAGCTGAGCTGGGCCCAACCGCAGAATCCTTCTCACTGTCTGGGCAGAGAGTGCAGTTGGACCTGGCATGGGAAGTGGTGTCTATTTGCCATCTTTCAGGAACTCTTCCTCAAAGCTCTCCAACTCCTCTTCCAGGCCTGATGGCATGCCAGCTCTCTGCTCTTGGCCATGTTTCCCTGTGGGTGCTCATTTCCACACTCACTGTGAACATTTGAAGCACATCAGAGCCTCCCTCACTTCCCACCTCCCCTCTTTCAGTGGTAATGTGTCCTTTGCCTATAATTTCCTCACCTCTCCTTGTCTCTGTGATCTCTTGTTACATCCAGCCAATGGTTCACTCCTGTCTCTCTGTCTCTCTTACCTCCTGATTGATCTGTCCCTCATGACTGGACAATCCTAATGCTACTCAGACTTTGAGCAGGCCAGAAGTGGTGAGGATCAGGGCAAAGGAAGGCCAGCCATAGACTGGGAAGTCATCTCCCCTAAAGGACATCTGCTCTTCTGAGGGCCCCCCTGCATGCTCATAGGGCAAATGTCTTTAATACATTTAAAGGATGGGAAAATCATGTCAGTGGTCTGCAATCTGCAGCTGTATGGATCCTAGCTGGGCAGCTTCTTAGCTACGGAAAAGTCCAGCAACTGCTGCCCCACATGCTCTATAGAACAGTGGTCAAGGGTCCCATGCAGGGCTCTGGCTGGGCAGAGGAGAGAAGGTCTTCCAGCTCCAAATTGGTGTGCCTTTTTACTGCCCCCGGTAGGAAGATGGGTAGCATGAACTGTTTCTAAGGAGAAGAGGTGAGGGTGGGGATCTCCAGAGGTCAAAATATTGCCTCTTTCCCCTTCCTCCAGGTCAGTGGTTCTCAACCTTCCTAATGCTGAGACCCTTTAATACAGTTCCTCATGTTGTGGAGACCCCCAACCATAAAATTATTTTTGTTGCTACTTCCTAGATGTAACTTTGCTACTGTTATAAATTGTAGTGTTAATATCTGTGTTTTCTGGTGATCTTCGGTGATCTCTGTTAGAAGGTCATGGCCCACGGGTTGAGAACCATTGCTCCAGGTGCCTACCCTATAGGAGTCCCCTTGAGCATGTGTCTACAAAGCAGCCAGGATGGATGAAGCATCCAGCTCCTGTGTCAATGGTATCCAGCACACCTGATCTTCTGGACTCTTCCCTGCCTCTGCTAACCAGGCCCATTCCTGCCTCCTTCTCCAGTGTCCCCAAACCATACTCACACTATCAGAAGCATCCCAGAGGCCAGCTCATGCCCTTTCCACAGTCTCTGTTTGTGCAGATGATAACCCTGCACACTTCGCCCCTCAAACTATCCATCTTGTCATTTGAACTGCTCTTCCTGCGGCTCCCTCCTCACTCCCTTTTCTCCATATGCTCTGCCCTTCCTGCTTATCTGACCTTTGTCCATACTGTGTCTTACTTCTACCCTTTCTTTTTAAATTCTACAGCCATCTACCCTGGCCTACAAAAACAGTAAGTGAGTACTGGTTTAGATCATGTGACTTATAAATGAGAGAAACCCAACTACCTCAATCAATCAGTCAACAAGTCAATACATTTTGTGAAGCTTGTTGAAAGATTTGGCAGTAGTATCAGCTTCCAGCATAGCTGAATCTAGGTGCTCAAATGATGCCATTAGAAGATTTCTCATTCCACCTACTTTTAACTCCTGCTCATCTTCTCTCCTTTTGTGCTTTATCAGGGATATATCTACTTTATGTCTGGAAAAGATGGTCACAAGAAGCTTCAGCTTACATCCTGATGGCCAGAACTGACTAACTCATTGTGCACCATGGACAAGGTGTCCTGGCATGACAGTACTTTATGAGCCCGTAAAAATATTTTAACTCGGGGCTGTAGAGCGGTGTGTGCTCTTCCAGAGGTCTTGAGTTCAGTTCCCAGCAACCACATGGTGGCTCCCAACCATCTACATGTGATCTGGAGCTCTCTTCTGGCATGCAGGTGTACATGCAGATAGAGTACGCGTACATAAACTAAGTAAATAAAAATTTAAAAAAATGTTTTAATTTCTTTTATAGTCAGGAAAAAAAAGTTTAGTTGAAGAAAGTATGTTAAGGCGTTATTTTAATATAAGCAGTGCCAAGAAATATAAATTTTTAAAAGTTTTATTTTTAATTACATATGTGTGTGGGTTTGTACACATACGTGCAGTGCCCAAGGAAGCTGGGAGAGGGAGGGCAGTTGGTCCTCTGAGCTGGAGTTAGAGGCAGTTGTGAGCTACCCAGAAGAGGGTGCCTCTTTTTAGATTTCAGCTGTTAAAAGTTAGAAGCAAGTGTGTGCATCTGGATCAAATTCCTCTGAACAGAACTGTGGGAGGTTCTGGCTGGCCATGCTTGAGTTACAGGCCATCCCTGAGAAGAAATACCAGAGTAGGGACATAAGAAGGACTTTCTGCATGTGGGATTGGTAGAAACAAGACTCTGGCTTATAAGATAGGATCATTTCAGCATTTCTTTATTGTCTTTCCTTCTTCCACCTTGCATTTGGAGGATGTCATTTTCGAAAAGTTGATTTTTATGTGTGGGAGGGAGTGTTTGGCCTCTGTGTAGCCATCATGTGCATGCAGTGCCTGTGGAGGCCAGAAGAGGGCATCAGGTTCTCTGGAACTGGAGGGGCCACATGGGTGCTGGGAACTGAACCCAGGTCCTCTGGGAGAGTACCCTGTGCGCTTCACTATCAAGCCACCTCGCTAGTCCTGAAAGTGAGTTTTTAAAATGCAAGCCATTTTGTTCCATCTCAAAAATGAAGACATTTTTAAGGTTCAAGATGTCAGATTGCTAACATATACAAATTCCCACATATACAAATTTCTTTGCATGAGGTTTGGCCCAATGCCTCGTTTTAAGCAGAGGTCTGTTACTTGAGCCTCGGGGTCTTGGAGTTAGAGATGTTAGCACTCTGTGTTAGAACACTGTGTTGTTCTAAATCCTGACATTGTTTCCTGCTCCAGCTACCCGCTCCCCTCCCCAGTGCTCAGCCCCACAGAACGACTGCCTTTTGGCCTTGAGGAGAATGGGGGCACACCCTTCGCCTCCAAGACTTCGGGAAGGCGCCACCCGCACCAGCACCACTCCAACTATGGCCTTTCTCTGACCCTGGAGAATAAGGAGGGGCCGCTGAGGTCCCCGAACTCCAGCAAAGCCCTTACCAGTGAGTGTGTGGAGGGAGCAGGGTGGGGTAGGGAGGGCCAGTGGGGACCGGAAGGGGGGGTGTTGCCATGGCTGCCGGGTTTGGGCAGCAGAGCCTGATGCCTGGAGGCAGGCCGATCTAGACTTGGGGGTTTCCTGCTTCCATCTTGTTACAGGTGGCCATTTCTTCTTGCCTCCAAGCTTAGACTTCTGCCTATGCGGTGCTCAGCGCGGGCTCCTGGGCTCCAGCAGTGGAAAAGAGGGGAGTCAGACAGTGACTGGGATTCCTACTGCCCTGATCATAGTAAAATCTCCTCTGCCCTTTTGTGACACCTGCTTCCAACAGCAAACAGTTGTCAGGCGTCCAGTAGGCCTATGGTGCGGTCCATCCTATAGACGTTAATAATAAAGTAAGCGGTTAATGCTTGTGCTTGGCAGAATGACTCATTTGGCCCCTGCTAACTCTAACGAGAATGGGCTTGCATCTTGTATGTTATATTATTTTCCAGAAACTCAGTTTTACTCTCCTTTATCTAGGAGTTTGTCTGTGATGGACAAAAGCCAAGTATTAGTTCTTTTCATTTTTCCTTCTTTCTTTTTTCTTTTTCTCACTATATAGACCGGGCTGACCTTAAACTCACCTGCCCTCTGCCTCCCCGAGTGATAGGATTAAAGGCTTGTGCTGCCACCCATACATGGCCCTTATTTTTTCATTTTCATCATTATTTTATTGCTTATTTTTTAACTGGCATTCAGTGTTAGCCTTCATTATGACATTTTTCGAATATAATTTCTATTTTTTTTAATCTTCTCCCCACCCCTGCCCCCAGGAGCCCTTTTTCCACTTTCACACAACACAGTCCTCTCAGCTGTTCCTTCCGGGAGCACTGAGCAGGGCCGCTTAGGGGCTGGGAGTCTGGATCACACTGGGCAGCCCAGGACACTCTCTGGGTTTTGGTCCCTCTGAACCGGAAAGAGGGCGTGCAATGACCGTCAAGGAACCTTCTAGCACAGCCACTACAAGCTGTTGAGATAGGCTGAGCTCTTCAGACCACAAGAGCCGTTCGAGGTTAGCCGAATGGAAGATGGGAACTCCTCGCCTGCTTGAGGACAAGAATCCAGACACTGCCCAGGCCACCCTTGCCAGTGTTGGCCTCATCTTTTTGCATGGAGGTGACCGTCATAGCCTCCCTCCTCCAGTACAGTCTTCATATAGAAGTTACCGATGTCAGAGTTAAGGCCGTCTGTTCCCCCCTGCCCCAGGATGAGTCCACACTCTGAGCATGGCAACATAACAGACCTCCAAAGCAGTCTCGGCCTCCCCCAGCCTCCCACACTCCAGCTGCACGGAATCTCTGTCCTTTCACCATGCCCTGTGCCATCCCAGCCCTGTCCTCTGTGCTGGCTGCTTCCTCTACCTGCAATCTTCTTCTCTCATGCCTCTGGGGCCAGCTCACATGTGATCTGTGCAGCATTCCCTGTATGCCTCCACTGTCTCCAGCTCAGGAATGGGAATGTCTCCTCTTTTGTGCCTATGGCAATGATGGGAAATGAAAGCTCTTAGTGCTTTTATGTGGGCTACCTCCCCCCACCAACCTACACTAGAAGCATGCCTTATTTGTTTATTTCAACTCCCCAGAGGCCAGTTGTTAACCAGCAATAAAGCTTTATTGTATAATGAATATTTAATATTTAGTGAATGTTTGATGTATTAATGAAAAAATCCAAGCCAGAGTGGTGTGTGGTGGCAAAAAAATGCAACACAATACAAAACGCCAATGGCTTTGATTGTAGAAACATAGCATGACTCTTTGAGGCACCTTGCTCTGCCTATCAGCCTGGACACGCAGCTTTTCAGCATGTAAAGGACATTTCCACATAGAAGGCTTCTTATGAGAATAATCTCAATACTACAGCAACCCTGCAAGAGAAGTGATTTCTGTTTTCATTTCTAAATGGCCCAGAGGCTCAGAACAATAGGCCCAGGGCCACCCCGCTCATAGCCGAGGGAGTAAGGCTATGCAACCTTGACGTCAGATGTTCCTGTCCTTCATGAAGCATGAGGGGCAGAAGAGGATCTGGGAGTCAGGCTCCTGCAGGGGCCTCTGGCCGCTGTACCAAGCTGCCATCTGAACCTCCGCTTTTTCTTTTCCCCTGGCCATGTCGTAGAGCTGAGCCCGGGAGCAACCGCCCTGTACAGCGAAGCAGCTGCCCACCTGAAGAAGCTGGAGCTGGACACTGTGAAGGCCGCGGGACCCTGGCCTGCCCTCCACATCAACATAAACAAGGTGCCAGCCCAGCTCTGTGCGGAGCGCGCTGCCCCACAACAGGGCCTTGAACCACAGGGTTTCCGCTCCAGCTCCCTGGATGTGTGTGCTCGTGTGCAGGCTCCTGGGTGTGCGAGTATGTGTGTGCAGGTACGTGTGTGTGTGTGTGTGTGTGTGTGTGTGTGTGTGTGTGAACACTTATGTGTGGAAGGCAGAGGAAACTCTCAGGTTTTGTTCGTCAGGTGTTATTCTCTTTATTTTGCAGGCAAGATCTCTTACTGGCCTCAAACTTACCAAGAAGGCTAAGCTGGAGGAACAAACCTCTACCCCCGGGCACCCATCTGTCTCTGCTGCCATCAGGCACCACCACATCCAGCTTTTTTTTTTTTTTCCAGATTTTAAAAATTTATGTGTACATTTGCGCGCCTACGTTGATACGCACACATGTGCGCGCGCGCAGAGGCAGTAAGAACGTATTGGGTTCTGTACCTGATGTGGGAACCAAATTTTGGTTCTTGGCAAGGACAGCTAGCTGTCTTAGCTGCTGAGCCACCTCTCCGGCTCTATGCCTGGCCTTTCTACGTGGGTTCTGGGGGTGAACTGGGGTCCTCATGCTTGCACAAGTGCTTTGCTGACTGAGCCAGCTCCTAGTGTCTCCAGGGCAGCTCCTTGCCCTTCCTGCCTGGGCTGTTTCAGGAACAGGGCCTTGCCTGCCTTCTAATGAGGGAACCGCTGGCAGCACCATCCCCGGCACACGGCCTGTCCCTTGTGTGTGTCTGCTTTGCCTTTAACTCTTCTTCCACGATGCACATAGGTAACCAAAAGACATGCTACCCGGCAGAGGACTCACAAGTATTCAGTCGCCGTGACTGTGGTAGGACACAGAGTGCCATGAGCAGAGTGCCATGCTCTTCCAAGGGCATGTACCTAGCTTTTCCCTGGAGCTCAAGAGCTCAAGCCATCACTGCCCACCTCTCTGTGGGCAAATGTATTGGGAGTGGGGTGCGGTGGCTCAGTGGGAGAGCATGGCTTTGTGTGTGCATGGCCCTGGCTTCAATCCCCAGAACAAGTAAAAATTTGAAAAAACACACTGAATCCCTATAGCTATGATCTTACAGTTACACAGGCGACTCTCGAAACGACAGCGTATTAGTCCAGATGATTTTTTTTTTTTAACATCTGAATGTTTTAATCCTTCTTTACAGGTTACCTAGACCACTTTTAATTAAGAAGACTGTAGAAAGTTAGTAACTGCCACCACGTGGTGGCATGTGTCAATTTTCCACAGAGTCCTGCTTCGAGGGGTGTCTGAACGCACTGCCCAGGTGTCTGCTCGAACTTGCTGGACTCACTCTCGGCAGATTTTAGTCCACAGGTCGCTTTTCCCCATATTTCTTTGTGAACTCTTCAGCATTCTTACAGACTTTTTACAGTCCTTAGAGTACTCTTCAGCTAGGTTAGCCCGGAGCGGGTGCTCAGGCTGGGGGTCGTTCTCCGGTGCTGTGAGGGACTGATGGGTCAGTCTTGGTGGCCGGCTTCCAGTTTTCAGCACTAATTACTGGCAGAAAGACCTGCCCCTTCTCATCTATGTTGTTTTCAATGTGATGTTGGGTGGTTTGAATGGCTGCTCTGTGGGCAAGCTGGTTTCAATTCCGAAGGCCCCCTTATCATATGGAGGGTTGTCAGGAACAATAAGCCCTTGCCAAGGCAGTAAGTTAGCCTGGATGTTAGGGAAGTTTTTCATTCCACATTTGCACATCTCTTCAAGTTCCTTCATCAGCCTCCTGCTGGCCGCCATCTTGGATCTCCAGATGATTCTTTTATTTTTTATTTTTTGTGTATATACATGTGTTTAGGTGTGTGTGTGTGCACGTGTGTGTTTAGGTCAGAGGACAACCTTTGGGTGGTGGTAGTCAGGGGCCATCACCTTATTTTGAGATAGGGTGTCTCACTGGCCAGAAACTTGCTTCTTACATTAGGCTGGCTGGCAAGCCAAGTCCAGGGATCCTCTTGTGTCCACCTTTCAGGTACTGGGGTCACAAGCATGACCCACCACAACTGGCGTGTGGAGAAAATTTCTTGAGATAATCTATCATGTTACCAAGGTGTTGGCCTTGAACTTGCTATGTACCCCACAATGGCCTTGAACTCTGATGTTCCTGCCTCTACCTCTTGAGTTGTAAGCATGCATCATCATGCCCAATTTATGTGGAGTTGGGAATAAAACCCAAAGCTTTGTGCACACTAGGCAAGTATTTTATCAAGTGAGCCCCAGCTTCAGGCCCCTGGGTGATTTTTTTTTTAACCACTAAGAAAGCATTTCTTGGGCCATTGTGCTGGCTTAGTAGGTAAAGAAGGCACTTGTACCCACGCTTATCAACTTAAATTCAATCCATGGGTTTCTCATAATGAAAGGAGAGGACTAATTCCCACAAGCTATCCTCTGACCTCTACACACATAGCTATACACAAACACAAGCGTAAGTAAGTAAGTAAATAAATAAATAAATTTAATAAAATATTTTATTTTAAAAGGAAACTATTTCTTGCAATAGATCTCCCTGGTAAGCATGACACTTCAAATGGGAACCACTGGCTTGAATAATTTTTTTCCCACCTCAAGGATGAAACTTGAAGAATGTTTCCATTCTTCCATGGTTTTTGTAATCTTCTGTTCTTAATTTAATGATTTTCCCTATCTATTCCCAATGACAGCAGGAATTTCAGTCTCCTTAGATTTGCCACACATTAATTATCTGTATCAACAGCTTAAATATACATCTGATTGTTTCCTTATCCCCAGATGGCATTGTCAAACAGATGGTCTATTCCCCGTCATGATACCAGGACCCCATCGCCATTCATTTATATGTTTTGACTCTTTAACGCCATATTGGAGGATATAGTTTCTTTCCACAGTTCAAACTGAACATAAAATGTGGTGGTTCAAAAAACAGACAACACAACAGTGCTGGAGTCACGCTCAGCTGGAACTGTGGTCTTGTACTCTCTTGTTGAAACACCTTTGTATGTATGTGCACGCATGTGCATGCGTTCATGAGAGTGTGGGTGCATGTGTGGATATAGATGTGTGAGTGTGTGGAAGACAGACAACAGCCTTGTATGTTGGTCCTCAGGCACCTTCTGCTTTTATTGGTAACTGATCTCCCATTGGCCTGGAACTGCACTGCACAGGCCAGGCTAGCAGGTCCCATGGGCTTCCAGGGATCTGCAGGTCTCAAGCTCCTGGCTTGTCATCAATGAGATAACACACATGCCCTGCCCTGCCCTGCCCAGCTTTTTATGTGGTATCTATGGGTCCAAATTCAGGTCCTCACACTTGTGAGGCAAGTACTTTACAGAGAGCTTTTAAGCAAAAGGTACACAAAGATGCACAAATTTTGCAAATTTCATTTCGATCTTCAACAGGGGTGATTCCTATAGCTGAGCAGTACTTCTTTAGCTTTGTTCAGCTGAGACAGGAGTGAGCCACCTTGAATTGTGTGTTCCAAATAGCAGGTTAGGTTGGCTAAACATAAGGAAGAAAAAAAGATGTGCTGAATTATTTTCTTATTTTAGCAGCATTTCATTAGTTTAAGTAGGCCATTTTTACTGTCAGATAACCATTTCCCCACAAGCCATTGCCAAAACCCACTAATGGGGTCCTAACTAATTAAGTTACTGTTTGCCGACATGCTGCTCTCCAAACTAAAACCAAGTACAAATGAGCTCTTAATATATCTATAAAAACAGTCCATTCAAGTATGAAATAGATAACATACCTGATTTGCAACACAAAATAAATAACCCAAAACCCACACTGTAAACCTTATCTTTCAAGATAATAAGTTATACGTAAATTACTTATTTTCCTATAGGAAAAAGCTCCCTCCCTTGGGATAATGAATCCAGTCAGATGTGCTATTTTCCCAAGGCCAGCATAGTCATAGTGTTTTCCTGTCATCACTTTTCTCACATTCAGACATACCTTTCTGGATTTTCTTTTTAAACTGTAGAACCTAGCATGAGAAAGCTGTTCATACTTTTTTCCTTTCTCATTGAACATCTTAAAATTCTTATGAAGGCAGAGATGGCATCAGAGAGGTTAGGGAGATAACATGGTTGAATGGTTGGAAGATCTGGCTTTGAACTTCATCAGAATCTGTTCCTAGACCATAACCCTTCCTTTTCCCTCTATGGCTTCCCACAGCCCAGCTTTTGTTTTGTTTTGTTTTTCATCTACAAATGAGGGTAAATGATATTTTGTTTTCTCTTCTGATTATGTAAATCTTTCCCTAAATCTTGCTCTTTTGATGGAGGAGAGCTTAGAATTGACCCTCGTGCTCTGCCAAACTGTAAGACCAGCCCACAGATGTCTGCCTTCTGCTAAAGTGGAGATGCTGAAGGTACCAGCAAGAGAAGCCAGTAAAAGTGGCTTATCAAGATGGCTGAGTGGGAGAGCTGTTACTGCCAAGCCTGCTCACACACGGGTCCACATGGTAAAGGAGAGAACTGACTCTCCAAAGTTGTCTTCTGATTTGCCCACCCCCACACCCTAAATGAATAAATAAAAACTTTAAGAAATTTAAGATACCTACCTCAAAATAAGGTGGACAAATGAGACTCCAGCAACTCGTGCACATGAACTATGTGGCCAATGACTGGCTCATGATAAGCTTTTAGTACATGTCAGCTACTGGCATTTTTCTTTATCATCACCATTATTACTATCATCACCATCATCATCACTGTGGTCATCACCATCATCACCACCATAGTCATCACCATCATTATTATTATGGTTGTCACCATCATTATCATGGTCACTACCATGATCATTGTCATCATCTATTTTGATGATGACAGAGAAAAGACTGAAATTTTATTTTAGAACTCTTGCCTTTGTATGTTTGCTACTACCTGGCATTGCTGAAGTCTGCTTCGTTCCCAAGTGTTCTTGTTTACTAGGAGGAAACTGGATTCTATGTCCTATTTTTTTTTATTACATTTATTAGCTACCATTTGCCCTCTGTTTCCTCTGTGGCTTTCATAATACTCCTACAGTGGATTCCAAGATGATCAGTGGGACTTCTGGTTTTCTGAAACAGTGTCTCAGCACACGGGCCAGAATCATCTTGAATTCATCATCTTCCTGTGTCCCCCTCCTGAGTGTAGGGGGAGTAGACAGGCACCACCATGCCTAGCTTCAGTGGGGCTTTTGACCTAGTGAATAACAATTTCAGAACTCGGGGAAGTTGAGGATTTTAGAACATTTTCTTCTTGCCTTGGGGCATGGCAGCTGACCTGCCAGACTGCCTCCTGAGACCACTGAATGGGCATTAGCAATCATGAGGTCGTGTGCATTTCTTATTAAGCATAAATCTCTTCTGCTAATAAGTGAGTGTCACCACAATTGTCTATATGAAGTATTTATTAGACATCAAGTCTGGGTCAAACACCATATTGTGCCAGGACATGCAATGGCCAAGACCTACAATATGGTGAGCAATTAGGCATTATTTCCTCACAGAGGCACATATACCATCTAAGATCACTTCAGGGCTACATGTGAAGATTAATGACTTTTATTATCATCACGGTATAAATATCATGTCTACTCCAACAATAGTTACAAAGCTTTTGATTTCAAAGATGTTTTTCTTTGAATGTGATTCAGGTAAAAATATGTAGTCTTAGGGTAATCCATCTTGACTGAGTCACATGAACTTCAGGGTTTACTCAATGTTACTCGTATTTCTATCTATTTTATTTGGGTTTCTCATGCTTCTATCACCCATCTCCACCCCAGTTCCTTCCAACACCCCAACATCAAGTAGGAGAGAAAGAAGGGGAGAGGGGTGTTGTTCTCTTTAACTACTCCCTGCTGGTTTAGGGTCATTGGGTTCCTTGGTGCAAAGTTCAGTCTTCATAGTCAGGATATCTCCAGTTCCTTCTAATCAAACTGCATGAAGAACAGCCAGTAGCAGCAGGGGAGAAGCAGCAGCTCTGGCATTTATTTCCCCTCTGAGCCCCCAGCATTAAACTATGTGCAGCCGGCAAATAGTCTGCTGCTGTGGACAAGCTGAAGCAGCCCCATATCCCATACCTGGGATTAAAACAAAAACATGCTTTAAACCATAACTGAGTTTTTAAAGACACCAAAAACTCCTACTACAACCTAACACTTAGGAGATGGTAGAAATTGCGAAATCAGTACCAAATTCCTCAACTCCAAGAAGGTGATACAGGGGCTGGGGTTGTTCCTGCATGATAGAGAGTGAGGTCCTGGGCCCTGTCTACTGCGTATAAATTAAATTAATAAAGTAAAAGAGATGCAAATTCCTTTTGAGAGTCACAGTTTCCAGCAAGATTTACTGAACAAATATCAGCAAGTGTTCTGTGCTTTTTCTTGATTCTTCAGCTTACTGGCATATCTTGCTCTCTCTGAGGGAGCAGGGAAGGAAAGCTCTAGGCTGGACCCATCTCTGGCTTTTGCCACCTGACTCTGAAGGGCCCCTTCCTGGATTAGACCTTCACCTGACACCGTGTGTCCAGTCCTCAGGAGAGAGTGGGGAAGGGACTGGATATGCGGGAAGCCTCTTGGTTGGAAAGCAACAGCACAAATGGAAGTGTATCAGGACACACACAAGCAGACACTGAGATGCCATTGTGGTTGTTGGGGAATTGTGTTTTCTTTTTTGTTTGCTCACCATGTGTCACCTGCAAATTGCTTTATCTCAGGCTGAGGAAAAGAAAGTTTCGGAGAAGACCCTTCAGACTCCACTGCTGCCTTCGCCAGCGGCAGATCACGTGAAGTGTAACATTTTGAAAGCGCAGCTGGAGAATGCCTCTCGGGTGAATGCCCAGGTAGGCGGGGTGAGGGCTCCTTCAATTTCATGTTACAGGCTTTCCTCAGTACCACACAGGAGGACAACAATGCAGCACCAGTCAAGGTCCAGTGTGGAGATAGGAACCACTTCTTGGTATGGGAGTCTGGATTTTGCTATTATTTTTAATTACGTTTTATTTCTTGGCTAGGAGGGGGCGCAGGGGCCCATGCCATGGAATGCTTGTAGAGGTCAGTGGATCTCTTGCAGGAGTCAGTATTCTCCTTCCACCATGTGGGGCCCGAGGATTGAACTTTGGTTCTCAGCCTTGTCAGCAGGCGCTTTATACATGCTGAGCTGTCTCGCTAGCTCAAGGAAACCTGCAAAGAATTACTAACCGATTTGTTGTTATTTATGCAAATGAATGGAAGATAGAGAAATGGGAGACAGTGTTTTATTGTTGTTGTTGTTAATGATTTATTTACTTTACATCTGGATCACAGCTTCCTTTCCCTCTTCTCCTCCCAACACCTTCCTCTGCCTTCCCCTCCCCCCATCCATCCCTCCTTCCTTTCTCCTCAGAAAAGCGCGCGGGGGGGGGGGGGGCACCCATAGACATCAACCAGCCTTGGCATATCAAGTTGCAGCAAGACTGCACCATCTTCTCCTACTGGGGCTATACAAAGCAGCCCAGTTAGGGCTAAGGGACCCAAAGGCAGGCAACAGAGTCAGAGACGGCCCCTGCACCGGGAGCCAGCGGTTCTTACATGCTAGTAGCATAAGGGCCCTCAGCAGAGCTGCATCTCATCCCCAAGGGTTCAGGAAGTCAGCGTGGGGGCTGGCGATCTGCATGTCTAACCAGCTCCCTGAACCGCGCTTTGAGTCACACACTGGAGGTGGCGACTCCAGGAAGCGCTTTCCATTCCAAGAGCGTGGGAACAAAGATTCTGCAAATATGGACATCTGAGTGCCTGGATTCCTAGTCCCACACAGACTCCTGAGATCGGGTCCCCTGTGGTATCTGACTTTCATGAGCTGCACGTGACTGTCCCACACTGTGGGACAGGAGCGGGGTGTCGTTCTGCCCACGCTGTGTCTGTGATGAGCAGGATGACACCGGATCTCCCGGTACTGCAGAAACTCCTGTGGAGGAGTGGGCCACCAGAGTTGGAGAAGCCAGGCTGGGATAACCCTGAAGAATAGGAAGCCAAGAGGCACTCCTCTCTAGCGCCCCCTGTTGGCAATGTTAGATCTGTTTGCTCCTCAGCCCAGGTCCAAGGAGGTGGGGTATGTGAATTTGGAGATGAGAGAGAACGGGGTAATAGCTGCCATAAACCCTCTCTCTGGCATCATAGCGCGTACCACTGGCTCCACAGTGACCGTTAATTACACTGTTTTCTGCCACCTTAAATGAGGGTTCTAAAGTGGCAACACCAGTCACAGCTGCTATTCAAGGAGAAACCCATTGTCTGTCCCTGCCCTGAAAACAGCGTTTGAAAAGCTGTGGCTGGGCTGGCAGGATGACTCAGTGGCTACAGTTGGTTGCCACCACCCTCGGAGTTCAATCTCCGGGACCCATGTGGTTGAAAGAGCCAACTCGTTAAAGTTGGCCTCTGACGTCCACATGCACACACACACACACACACACAAACGCATACGCAAGATAAAAAGAATATTTTTAAAAAGCTACAGTTGTCCAAGAACTCATGAGAACAATATGTAAGAATCAACAGTCCTTATGAACCTATGTACACTTATATTGCCAAGAGTTCCAGTCAGTAATGTCTTCATTCTCTATTTACATATATAATGATCCGTACGATTTAAATCCTCCCAGAAGATGCCATGAGAAACAAGAACAAGCTTATAAGATTTCTTCCCTTGGGAGGCTGTGATGTAAACAGAAGCCTAGACTACAGGTTGGAAAGCCAGAAACTCTGGAGCAGTGGCTCTCAGCCTTGCTAATGCTGTCACACTTGAATACAGTCCCTCATATTGTGGGGACCCCAATTAGATAAAATTATCTTGTTGCTGCTTCATAACTGTAATTCTGCTATGTTTATGAACTGTAGTGTGAATATGTGATATGTGACCCCACTGTGAAAGGGTTGTTTGACCACCCAAGGGGTCGTGACTCACAGGTCAAGGGCTACTGGCTCTGGTGATCTTCTTCTTAGTAATGTCACCTTAAACCCATCCATTAACTTCTCTGAGCCTCACTTGTTTTGCTCAAAAAGTGGGAGCCAGCTGCGTCTGCTGGTATACACCTGTAGTCCCAGGCACTCAGGAAGCTAATACAGGAAACTCTCTTAAGCACAGGAGCTAGACAGCAGCCTGAGACACGTAGTAAGATTTATTTTCAAGGGGCTGAAGAGACAGTGCAGACGTTAAAAGCATTTTCTTTTCAAGCTTAAGGATTGGAATTCAGATCCCAGCATGCATCCCATGCAAGCCAGATGTGATCCTGTCCATGCCTATCACCCCAGCACTCACTGGGATGGAGACAGAAGGGTTGCCGGGGATGGCTAGGTGCCAGCCTGGTTGAAAAGCCGCTAGCTCCAGGCTCTGCAAGAGACCCTCAGAGTGGGCAGTAATTAAGGAGAACACTTGACTCCTTTCTCTAGCCTCTGCATACCTGAACAGGCTCATAAACACACGCCACACACATGTACACTTCACACACTCACACAGGAAAGGAACCCAGCACAACAAATTCAAGCCACCACCCTAGATAACTATGAAGATTAAAGGCTAGATGGAGCCCCTGACCGTGTCTTACATGATTTCATGGCTATACAGATAGACACAATCACAGACTACGGTTAGGAAATTATCGAGGAGACTGACTGCCACAGGTGATGGCAGTGACGCTTTTTACAGGACAGTCAAACTGAGTTATTTCAGGGCGGGCGGGGTGGCTCAAATAATAAAGGCACTTGGTGCCAGCCCTAACGACCTGAGTTTCATCTCTAGTGTCTACATGGTGGAAAGAGAGGACCAGCTCCCCAAAGTTGTCCTTTGGCGTACTGGGCAAGTGTACACACACATACACATAAGTGTAATACACACACACAAAAAAAAAAAAAAAAAGAAAAAAAACTTAGCTATTTCAAGTTTCAGTCACATCTGATTGTCTGAACTGTTCTCCCACTGTCATTTTCATGTATGCTATTTTGTACTATCACCAAGCAAATAAAACTGGTGCATGTTTCATGGCTTAGAAAGTTAATGTTATGTATATTAGGACGCTCTGCTATGTTCCCAGAGGTCTTGTGCGACATGAATCCTCTTCGAAGGATCCAGGTTTCTGCTACAGAAGATGCACTATGTGTCAAAAGTAATTCATTTTGGAAAGAGTGAAAAAGGAGGGGGAATAGAGCCCCCAAAAGAAAAATACACTGGCTAGACACAGAGAGGAGAAGGGCCTGGAAGAGAGGCAGGCGTGAGAGCAGTGACCCCAGGGATCACTGCTTTAGTTTTCTTCCCTCTAAGGGCATGGATTCCTTTGTAAATGGCTCCCACTGTCCTCCACATAATTAGTGTTCTCAGAAATGCTGCAAGCTCAAATAGCATTGGACCCTACCATAAGAATCCCTGGGTTAGTGTGTTTTGAGGGTGTGTGGTAGAGAGGTGCTGCATGCAGCCCAGCATCCTGCCTAGGCTAAACACCGGTTCCCTATGGGATCCGTGCAGAGCACAGGGGCATGGAAAGGAAGCCAGTGGTCCCAACTTGTTGGTGCCTGTAGAAAAGACTCTGGCAGGAGCTGGAGCTGGATCCATGTATGGACTGCTGTGCCCTCCATGCCAGTCTCCAGCATATTACCGAACCTCTAGTGAGAGCAGAGGCAGAGCATGAGGGTTGAGGCCTGACCATCTCCCACACTGACTGGCTATGTACATGCTATTTGGCTGGCTGTGTGGGTGTCTCATCCTCCCTTGTCATCCTCAGGGACTCACCAGGGGGAGGAAGATAAGAATTGTATCAAAATCAAGTGACATCATTCCTTCCGGGTTTGTTCCTTAGATGTACAGAATTTCAAGTTCCTCTTAAAGTTCTAAATGTCAGTGCTACGTGAGCCCGCAGCCATTCTTGTTCTTGATTCAGAGAGTGACGTAAGGGATTGAACTGGAGGCTTGCTTTTCCCACATCATCCCTTTCTCATTGAGGCAGGAACTGACACATAACAAGTGCTCAACAAAAGTATGAATGCAGGGACTGATTGCATTTGAATGATCACATCTTAATCCTCAGTAGTAGGAATGACTCAAAAAAACCTGATTTTTTTTGTTTTGATTGTTTGTTTGTTTGTTTGTTTTTGTCATAGTTTACTGTGAAAACAGAATAAGTTTGTGATTGACTAAACACTTGATGAATTACCTCTGTGGTCCTTCCCATTTCTACTATCCTTTGAATGCCGAAGACCTGAAAGCATTTTTACCTGCCAAACTATTAACATTTGACTAACCTATCTACTTTAACAGATTGCAAAAGAAGAGCCCTCGCTTGTAAATATCAATAAGAAATCGAGTCTTCAGGACACTAATGTCAGGTCTGTTGCTTCTTTGAATGGGGAAATGACATTGTGGCCTCTGCATTGTACCAGAAGCATTGCTCTTGGGGGGCAGGGTGACAAAAGCAGGGAGGGAAAACAAAGCTGAGAGAATATGGGCCAGAGGAAAGCAGTGTAAAGACTTCCTTTAAGCCTGGAGAAGGTTGCTGTTGCCAGGCTGACCTTGACCTTGCTGACTGCTGTGCTGGTAAGGAACTCAGCCTCCTTGAGTGGGCTCTGAAGATGCAGAGCTGACCTTGCGTCCCCAGTTAAGATGCTCCAAGCTCTGCTCTCAGCGTGGAGTCATCTTTGATAATACAGGAAAGACAACCCTTCCGGGCCTGGCTTCTGCTCATTGTGCTTCCTTGGGCCATTGTTTCTGAGCTCTGTCAGAACTGGATCCACATGGGTTCATTGACAGTCTCAGCCACTACCTTCTCCACCCCGTTCCCCAGGGGAATCCCCCTCAGCTGAGTGACCGATAGCCTATCATCATGGCAGTCTTAGTGCCATCTTGATGGTCTACCATCACTTGCTCTTCAGTGGGCTCTCCTAGATGCTCCCCTCAAATGCGCAGCAGAGTCTCTTATTGAAAATCCCAGGTCCTGGCTGGGAAGGTTAACTCAGTAGTTGAGAGCCTGCCTAGCATGCTCAAGGCCCTGGGTTCGATCCTCAACCATGCAAAACAGATGAATAAAACAAATCCTGGTCTCCTGAGTCCCACTCCAGTCCTTGAGATCCTGTGGATGGGTGGATCCTGGGAATGGGAGTGGTGGTGGGGCAGGAAGAAGCATTGCAGTGAATGCCTGGGTGTCATAGGGAATTGTTACAGTTGATGCTCAAAGCACATGCTAGCTTTTTGCATGTCCTTGGTCCACATTTGGATACACTTTGCAGGGACTTAGTTCAGGTTGAAGTCCAGTTCAGTTGGAGGATCCTTTTTTAACATATGCATGGGCCTGAGTTCCATTCCCAGCACTGTAAAAGGAAAGCAGACAAACAAAAGCTCTTCCCACCCCGCCCATCATCCTTTCATCTGTCTCCGGTCTTGGAGAACAACAGTATCCAGTTCCTTCCCAAGCTTGAAACTCAAGAGTCCTTATTCCCCACCTCCCCATCTCATCCCCTAGCCTAATTGGTGATCACAATTAGGTGTTCAGGACTACAGTCCCTGCCTTTCCTCACCCTTCATTGTCTCTTATTTGGATCATCAATACCCTGGCTCTTACACCAATATACTCTTTCTGGCTCTGAGGACCTTTCTGCAATGCAAACCTGATAATGCCACTCCCCACACTAAATCCTGTGGTTACTGTCATTGCCTTCAAAGTAGACTCAGCCTGAGTTCCCTCCCAACAGGTCTTTCCTGCTACTCTTCTGGTCCCTACCTCTTGCCCTTCTGATTGGACCCCTTCTATGTAGGGGTGGTGAGGTACCCCGGCAGACCTCCACTTTGTCTGTCACTTTGGTGGTCTTCCCTGCATCAGGCTGAGAACCCTAGGAGGTGGGGTTACTTCAGGGATCATGAGCAGCTAGCTACCCTGGGGCTCTGGCCTGAGGGAACCATGAATTCAGCACATTGATTCACATTCCTTATTCATTCTTTCCTGTGTTTATTCAACGAGCATTAATCAGGCAGTAGCTGCATAGTTACACACAATCAGGCATTGAACAGAAGAAAAATTGAAACTGCTGCAGTGTTCATTGATTTGTCAAGGGTCCCTTGCTCAGGGTTTCAACTGGTTTCTATGCCTCTTTGGTGTTAGGTGCTAATTACTGATTTTTATAAATATGAAATTAGTCATGACCATAAAAATATATTAAAGACTTTCCTAAAATCACTGTTTGGGGTCTGGGGAGATGGCTTACATGAGTAAAAAGGCCTGCTCTCAAGCCTGCCAACCTCAGTTTAATCCTCAGACCCACAAGACAGAAGAACCAATCCTTTCCTGCCATCTCTTCTCCAACCTCTGTACAAAGGCTTACACATACTCAGAGAATAAATAAATGAAAATATGATATATTTTTAAAAAATCAGTTTTAAATAAAGCTATTGGGTTCTCAGCAATGATTGAGGAAAAGTAAAGGAAAATTTAATATATTTTTAATGAAAAAAATATACAAAGAAAGGACAGGACATGACTGCTCCTAGGTATGAGAAAGGAGAAGGTTTAATATAGATCTGTGGAAGAGCGTAGCCAGAGGCAGGGACATCTGGGAGAGTCTAGACTGGGCGTGACTAGACTGAGCTGGGTCATATGAGTAGAGTGGAAGGGGAGAGGAGGCAGAAGAGAGGGAACTACCTGCAGCAGCCAGGAGACCAAAGGTACAAAGAGATCGGGTAACCAAAACGGCTGGACTATATAGGGAAGGGTAACTGGGGGAAGGGCAGCCCAGCTTTCTGGGCTGGAGAGTTCTGGGTGGGGAGCAGGGCATGCCAGCTACACCCTGTAACAGGTAGGAACTGGAGGATGCAGGGAGAACCTGGTGGCCAGGTCCACTTTGATATGTTAACTAGGCACCTCAGCTACTTGTACCAGGTTTGAAACTTAATACTTTTACTTCCATTTTTGTGTATGTGTGTGAACACCTGTGTATTGGTGCCCTGAGAGGCTAGAAGAGGGCATCCAGATCCCCTGGAGGCATTATGGGTAGTCATGAGAGATCCAGCATAGGTTCTGGGAATCAAACTCAAGCTTTTTAGAAGAGTAGCAAGCATTCTTAACCACTGAGCCGTGTTTCTTTCTATAAACATCTTCTCATATATATAGTATTAAAATATCTTAGAAATAGTCCTACTATTTAAAATATACTGTGGATATATTTACTGTTCTCTGTAGCTTCATTATATACTATAGTTACAGTCCTTGTGGGCTTTTGTACTAAGTATCATGGCTTCCAAGTTATTGGGAACTACATCTGGGTTAGACATGGGTTTTACTTCATTTCACAGCAAGACCTGGCTATGAGCCAAATCCTCATTTTGAGGTAGGGAGCCTTTGAGATAAAGGCAGTTTTATTCGGTACCTTACCCAAGTATATTTAGTTCCCCACTCGCTATATTCTTGTCTCTATAATGTCTGCTTGTTTATTTGATTTTGGATATTTCTGCATTTGTAATATAATTTCAGTTATTAAGGAAAATACTAAACCAAGAGCAGTGGGATTTCTTGACCATCAGAAGCAGTAAAGTAGGCTATATATTAACTGGGAAGCAGTCCAGAAAATGAATACAGGAACATCAACCTTGTTTTTAATTTTTTTTTTCTATGTCTCTAGAAGCCCCATTCCTATACGTGTGGAAACTGCCCAGCCAGCTGTGGAGAAACCAGAAATCAAGCCTCCCCGAGTGAGGAGGTTAACGAGACAATACAGCTTGTGAGTCATGCACTTATCTGTGCCTGTTATACTTGAACGTGCAGTTTATAAACATCTTAGCCCTGCTCCAGGGACCTTCTCAGATGGCCATCCCCCAAACTCCGCTCAATTTCCATCTGAGTGGTTGAAATGAGACCAGAGATTTCTCCATGAGAACATCACAAGCGGGTACATTCGTCCCCATTGTCTGTGGTATGGTAAACTGTTCCCAGCAGTCCATGCTTACCACCCAAGAGTCGCCGAAGATGGGGAGTCTGGCGCAGCCTCTCTGGCCTTCTCTGTTGGGTCCCAAAGGGCTGCAAATTGTCCCGTTAAGGCCTTGGTCACCTCTGAAGGCTCATTTGCTATCAGAATGGTTATGGCTGGTATCAGAATCTATGGCAAAGGAGGCTGTTGGGGCCAGGTTACCCTAAGTTACAGTCTTGTCAGCTTTCCCTGTCAAGAGAGCATGTGAGAGGAGGCAGAGAGAATGCCAGCCTGGTGAAAGTTGGTCTTTTATAGCTTCACCACAGAAAACACAGCTTATGTTTTTGCCATATTCTGTTTATCGGAAGCATATTGCTAGGCCCAGTTCACATTCTAGAGGAAGATGCCATGGGTGGATGGTTACCAAGCCAAGAACCAGCAGAGGCTACAGAGGAAGCAGCCTCCTCACTTCATGGCATGATAGCAAAGTGCTTTGCACAGACAGACAGCAGAGCCAGAGGGGAGCATGGAGCTACAGAGAACATGAGGACCCACCCAGTTTTCTTCCACCTAGTTCAACAAAAAATCTCTTGGCTACTGTTCCAGGCATTGTCAGGTACTAGCAAAGTGGCTTTACAAATTCCCATCTACCATCTCAACTTGTAGTCTCGTGATATACTGAATGGAAAGACAGAGTTGTAAATAGTTGCCCAAACAAGACAAGTGAGGCCTGTAGGAAGGGCAGATGGGTTCAGCCATGGGGTTAGAGTACTGATTGCAATGGAATTCCCATTTTTGGTCCCAGCTGTGGCTCAGACACTATGCCTGGGTGTGAAGTTTGTCAGAGAACTGCAAAGGGATCTCTGGGCCCAATGGAAACTGTGGGAAGTCTAGGATTCAGGCCTATCTGTTGCTCTGATATCCTGGGAAATGAGAACACTTTGAACAAGCCTTTATTTTTTTCCTTTTTCTCTCTGAGTGGTGTATGCGTGTGTGTGCATGTGCAGGCGCATGCATTTAGAGGATGAGCGGTGGGGGTGGAGCGGGGGTTGATACCAGGAATCTACCATATTCATTGAGACAGTCCCTCAACTTAACCCAAAGGTCACTGACACGGCTAGTCACTAACCAGCATGTTCTGGGGTCCCCAGCCAGGCTTTCAGAGGCAGGAATTACAGGCAGGCCGCCAGCCCACCAAGCATTTCTGTAGTTTCTGGGGATCCAGACTCTGGTCCTCAGCCTTGTGGTGCAAATGCTTTAACCACTGAGCCATCTCTTCTGTCCCCTTTCCTTATCTTTTCTGTTCTTTCATTCCTTTTGTTCAAGGTATCAGAGACCTCACCAATGCAAAGCAAGTGCTCTACCACTGAGCTACATCTCTAGTCCATTCTTCGTGTTTTGTTTTGAGACAAGGTTTCCCTGTGTTGCCCAGGCAGACTCTGAACTTCTGATTTTCTTGCCTCAGCTCTCACCCCCTTGCCACCAGTAGTTGCGATTTCAGGTCTGTGACAACAGGCCTGGCTTCAAGTGCTTTTCCTTCAGCTATAAAATGAGACAACACCCACCTCTAAAGGATTTGTTTGTTTGTTTGTTTGTTTGTTTGTTTAAGACAGGGTTTCTCTGTGTAGCCCTGGCTGTCCTGGAACTCACTCTGCAGAACAGGCTGTTGTCAAACTCATAGACATCTGCCTGCCTCTGCCTCCTGAGTACTGGGATTAACGGTATGAGCCATCACCACCCGGCTCTAAAGGAGTTTGTGAGGGTCTGGCCAAAGGCTGTGCTTCTGAGAAAAAGTGTAGGGATCCCGAATGCAAAGTGAAGGTTGGGGTGCAGTGCCAGAGGCAATCCCCAAACAGCCAGCCCAGATGTGCCATTAGGTCCTCACAGGAAGGTGAAGACACATGCTCAAGGGTCTTAAGAGCAGACATCTCACTAGCCCAGATGGGGACTTTGGGCATATAGCAGCCGTGTTTCCAGGAAAGCCAGAGGGGCTAGAACTCAGATAACTAACAGCTCTAATGATCTCTGGGGAACCAATTAAACCACAAAAATCTTCCCCTAGGATAAGGGTGGCAGAGTTTGCATTTTCTTTTATTTCAAAATTCAAAACATCATTATCACCCATTTGGGATACATTAAATAATGATTAACTGTAGGTGAACCAGAAGGAAAAAAAAAATCATTTAATCACCAAATTGGCTCTTGTTTTTTTTTTTTTTTTTTTAAATCATTTTCACCTTTGCACTACTGCACTCAGCAAAAGAGTTTCAAGGTAAAGTTCTCAAAAACTTGTTAAAATGTCTTGTAAGCCAGATGTGGTAGCACAGGCTGCAATCTCAGTACTTGGCAGGCAGCAGTGGGAGGATCAGCAGATTGAAGCTAGCCTGGGCTACATTCATAAAACAACAGTGCTTTATAAATTTATCATGAATTACCTCAGAACCTGAAGTAAAGCTGGAGACTTACTGAATTTTAAATGTTTCCTCACTATAAGTTCTAAGTTAAGACAAAAGATTTTTTTGAATATGGGGGGGGGTGGTGCTAGAGAGATGGCTCAGCGGTTAGAAAGCAGCTGACCCCAGTCCTCCCACCCCACCCCTGATGTTCAGGTGGATCACAGTTGTCTGTAATTCCAGATCCAGGAGATCTGATGCCCTCTTCTGGTCTCTGAGGGTACCTGCACATACATGGCGCACACACACACACACACACACACACATGACTCAGAGAGAAATAAGAAATAAAAACATATCTTTTAGAAAAAAGAATTTGGAGCTTTTCCTATTTTAGACCCTCTGGGTTGACTTCCTACTGTAAGAAAGGAGCTATGTTTCTCTCTCTCTTTTTTAATGGCTCTTTTATGTAAAAAAAAAAAATAGTGGCTGCTGTTAGGGTTAAAGTGCTTTTACATGAGGCAGCACTCACTGTGCCACTAACTTTTTAAAAAAATAAGGTAAAAACCAGGCTAGGCAGATAGCTCCGTGGCTCAGAGTACATGCTATTCTTGCAGAGGACCAGAGCTTGGGTCTGAGCATCAAAATCATGTAGCTCATAGCTGCCTGTGGCCTCAGCTGTGGGGACCTGGCTCCTCTGGCCTTCATGGGCACACACACATATCTACACATACCCACATGCATAAAAATAAATATGCAAAGGTCTTCCAAATCTTAAAAAAATAAAATAAATGGTTAGAGAGTTGGTTCCTCATGATTCCTGCTGCCTCGCAGAAGAGGGTCTACACTCAACCCTCTGCGTCTGCTTTGACCAGTGTGATGTGAGTGTCCAGCCAAGTGTCTGCTGGCAGACACACAACTAAGAAAATATAGTAAGGTGGTGCACACCTTTAATCCCGGCACTCAGGAGGCAGAGGCAGGTGGGTCTCTGAGTTCAAGGCCAGCCTCCTCTACAGAGCGAGTTCCAGGACAGCCAGGGCCGCACAGAGAAACCTGTCTCAAAAAAAAAATGCAAAGAAAGAAAGAGAAAGAGACAGAGGGAGCGAGAGAAAGGAAAGGAAAGGAAAAGATGGTATAGCAATGGAGCATTTCTTGACATGAAAGGGAAAGGCACTTTGATGTACACTATAGCAATGCTGGACTTTGAAAGTATCCCATGCTTTTGTCAGGCTTCAGGGAGAGGCAAGATCATGGAGAGGGGGACATGATCAGGCTCAGGGCTACCCAGGAGAGGCCCATTGGGGCCGCTGCTCAGTAACCAAGCAGTTTTTGTTGTAACTGATGCTAAGCTGGGAGATACGAAGCAGGGTGGCTAAAAACACTGAATGTCTGCCATGCCATGGAAGTGATCGGTCACTCGGTCATTCACTTATTTACTTAGTTTAGTTCTGGTTTGGTTTGGTTTTTCAAGACAGGCTTTCTTTGCATAGCCCTGGCTGTCCTGAAACTTACTCTGTAAACCAGGCTGGCCTTGAACTCACAGAGATCCACCTGCCTCAGCCTCTCAAGTGCTTGGATTGAAGGTGTGCACCACCATGTCCAGCTTGGAATTGTTCGTTTAAAAATGGCTGAAATGATAAATGTCATATTATGTGTATTTTACCACAATCACACACACACACACACACACACACACACACACACACACACACAAAATCCGCAGAAAATCCAGCCCAGGTTTGTCCTGGTCTTGGATCCTGCGAGCTGGACCTTGAGTGGGCATTGATTTGGAGAGCCCTGCCCGCCTACTTTGGCCTCCCCGCCCTTCCTGAATGCCTCACACCCTGTGTGTTATTGTAATGAGCAGAGCTTCATGTGCTTTTAGTAACCGCAGCGATGAAGACGACCTCCCTCCAGACCTGGCTGAGGCAGTGGGAGCCACCACAGCCACAACCACCAACACCACCATGTCTGCCACTCAAGTCTCAGTGCCACTGGCGTCCCCCAAAATCCAGAAAGTCAGCTCACCTCAGAAGTCAGAAGTCAAGAGCCCACTGTCCCCGGGGACGAAGGTATGGGAAAGAGCCTCAGGCATGACATACACTTAGTGAATGGCATTCAGCTCGAGGGTTTGAATTTTGCATGATCAGTTGCATGCATGCATTTAAAAACAGCGAAACCAGACTGATGGTTTAATTCAGTTGTTGGAGTTAAAGCCATGTACTTGATTCCCAGCACACATAGACTAGGCATGGTGGCACATACCCATATTCCCAACTCAGGGGGTAGAGGCAGGATCAGAAGTTCAAGATCACAAACCACCTAGTGAGTTCAAGGCTGGTTTGAGACCTGTCTCTAACAAAGCAAAGCCAGTTTAAACTGATGAAATTAAGGTTGGCTCCAAGGAAAAAGAGTTGATAAATAAAAATAAAAGTAGCAAAATGTATTTTCGTGCACCCTTATCCCAAGATATATGACAACCATTTATGAGAAACATTTTATGATATAAAACAAAATAATATGCACTGTGCTTTAGGGTATGTTTAAGGAATCCTTGGACATGTCACCCTGTAGCCTTGGGTGGCTTTAAAGCTGAGTTTGGAGGCATCTATCTTTAGTCTCAGCAGTCTGGCAGGCAGAGGCAGGTGGATCTCTGCGTTCAAGGACAGCCTAGTCTCCTTAGTGAGTTCCAGGACAGCCAGCCACGGCTACACAGTGAGACCCTGTCTTGAAAACGAACAACAGGGGCTGGTAAAATAGCTCAGTAACTAAAGATGCTTAACACTAAGTCTAATGACCTGAACATGGTAGAAGGAGAACCTCTACACTTGCACTGTGGCATAACACACACACCAAATAAATGTAGTTTTGAAAGATAAAAAATGTTTTAAACCATCTTAAAATATCACAAAAATAAAGAGAAGAGCAGTAGCCCCCAGCCCCATTCTATACTGGACAATTTGGTGAAATAAAAACACAGGCATGTTGTTGACTTAGATTTTTCACCAAACCTACTTTTTTTTTTTAAGGGTTCTTATGCACCTTTACCTCCCTTCCAATCCCCCCTCGCCCCCGAAACCTTAGGTAGGAGATTAATAGGGAACAGGGTTGTAGTTCTCTTTTATCGACTTCCTGCTGATCAGGGTTGATGGGTCATTAGGGGCTTAGCAGATTCAGTGGTCAGGATTCCAGAAGACCAGTCCAAAGACCAACACAGAGCAGCAACACAAAGTCAGCAAAAGCCTCAAGACCAAGTTGGATTGCCCAGGGAAGCTCTTTGAAACGTTTCTCTCTGTGAAGCCAAGTGTCAAGCACGAAGATCAGCATTGCGATGTCAATCCAAAAAATGGTGTCTCACTCTGCCTTGGCCTCTATCTATGTCCTCTCCTCAAAGTCCACCCATGGATGTCTTCTGCTGGCCAGAGTCAGGCCCATCACAGCAAAACATCAGGTACCCTCTCACAAACCAGCCTGGGCAAAAGATCACATGACAAAATTCAATCTTCAAAGAAACAGGAAATTTCCACTCAACATGTTCCTATCCCAGACCTTATAATGGATAAGATGTGTTAATAGTTTGATAATGGGAAATATCACTCTGTTGGCTTGAAATTTCAGGAAACTGCAAACGTGAATGGTAGTGACAGGGGCCTTACATGAAACGTTCCTGCTTTTCTCTGTGTGACTTTGTCAATGGCCACTCTTTGGCAGTTGGTTCAAATACAGTTGAACCTGTTCCTGTCCAAGCAATGCTGAGCCGAAGATGGCTGTGGTCCATCCAACTTCCCGAGGAAAGGTGTGTATAGGGAACAGGTGCCTTGACAGCAAGACGGGAGTCCAGCAGGTTCTAGCTCCTCTGTTCACGTGACAGTAACAGCACTTCCAAGGCCCATATTCCCCCAAGCCTTAGCTACCCCTCCTTATGAAGATGAGAAGATTACCGGCGATGCTCTGATCCGCATAGGAAACCTCCCTCATGATAGCCACTGGATCCCTGAGGCTTGTGCAATATTCAGGGTCATGATTCTTGGAAGCATCTAAACAGCAATGTTCCAGGTCTACATCCTGTGTGAATGGGGTCCATCTTTTCCAAGGTGCTTTCCTCATATGTCTAAAATAGACACAAGAATATGACTGGACCCCTCAGCATTGACTGGTACAGATGAAGGCTCTCTGGCATTCTATAAATTGAATCATGGCATCTTTTTTGACATTTTGTTTTGAGTCTGCCGGTCTGCTACTTACTATGTAGCTCAGGATGACCTTGAACTCAAGGGAAGTTATCTCCCTTAGCCTCCCAAGTACTAGGGAGCTGCCATACCAGGCTTCACTGGCTGGGATCCGGACTCTCCTTACAGTTTTCCAAGTGGAAGACAGGCTCCTTTCCTGTATCCCACAGATGGTTAAAACCATCTGTGTTAGAGAAGTGTTGCACCCTCTCAGAAGCTCCAGGGCTCCCTCTTCTGGTCATTTCTCCACGTTAGGGCTCAGATTATGTCAAACTGACATAATCAGTTGTGTTTCTCACTCCCTCAAAGGGCCTGGAATCCATCCATGCAGCCAAGACTTCAAAGCAGGACAAAACACTGTGTTGAACAGTGTTCAGATGATCCAGCAGCCCTCCCAAGGCATCCTGACTATTATTATGCTGCTGGTCAATTTAGCTTTTTCGGCTCTCCTGACTCCCATGACGGGATGGCTTCTTCATTCTGTTTATGTATTCTACAGACTCTTTAAAGCATTTCTCCCAAAACTAGTTAAAAAAAAAATACTCAAAGCACTTAAGGAAAGTGGTTTGTAGCTTTGGAAGGCCAGATCCTCCACCTTGATTTTGGGGGAAAGTTGGGGTTCAGCCTGCCTATTTTATACACTGTTGAGGGAAAGGGATGTGGTGGGGGTTGCACACTGAGCAGGTCCATGCTAGAGAAATGTAGGCTCTTCCTTTCTTGTGAGCCCTGTCATCTGCTGTGGGTATCACTAACCAGGGACATTTTCTTTCTGCCTTCGCAGAGCCCCTCTGACCATGGAGGCACATTTACCTTGGGACCAGGCGACCTGCTGATGGACTTCACAGAGGCCACTCCTCTGGTAAACTTCTTATTTTGTTAAGAGCAGAAAAGCCAGACCCTAGCCGTGCCTGGCAGTGGGAGGATGGAGAGGTGGGCACTGTTGCTGGAGGTCTTCCGCTTGTCCTGGAAGCTCTCCAGGAGAGTTAGACACCAGGGCCTCACCACCTTTTGGGGCCCTTGATGAAGGGGTGCTCCTTCTCCTCAGTGGGTGGCTGCAAGAGTTCCGCCCATGCCTGTCCACTGCTCCTCAAGTATAGAGGGTTCCTCCATGCTTGGGTCTCAGCTTCCTGGCTTCCTGGGCTGTGCCCTGCATGCCATCCACCTCTTGCTGCTGCTTCTGGCGGTCCATCTGGTCTGAAATGCTCAAGGCTCTTCTGTGGCTTTCCGGACCCCTTACGCCTCCTCCCGTCATCTTTCCTCTGCATACAGGTCTTCCCTTAGGGATAGTGGCTCTCATGGGACTTCTGCAGGTGAGACGCCCCTTTTACAGGAAAGAGCACTAAGGGAGTCAGGCGGGCAGTTCTGACTCTGGTCCCTGGCTACTCTTGTTTTCTGAGACAAGGTCTCAGGTAGCCCTGGCTGAGTTTGAACTTGCTACATAGCCAGGGATGCCCTTCCAATCTTCCTCCCTTTAACTCCTGGGTGCTGGGATACCAGGTGTGCACCACCATGTCTGATTTGTGCAGTGCTGAGAATTGAACCCAGGCTCCCTGAACGCTGTGCAAACATCTGTCAACTAAGCTGCATCCTCAGCTTTCTGCTTCCCTTTTAAGAATCCTGCCATTGGATAGCATCCTTTCTTTCCTGAAGCAGGGATATCACAAGTGCTATCAGGAGAGGAAGAGAAGAAGAGGAAGGAGGGAGGGAAACGCCCACCTATCCATCCCGTCCCCCACACATGGGGACACATTGAGATTAGAAGTCAACAGGGATACATGTAAAGTATTATCAGTTGATACAGGCAAACTTGGAAAACAACTTCCGCCTGGGCTCTGTCCAATGTCTCAGTAGAGTTGAGCATAAATCACGGTCCACTTTGGGCTGGATGTAAATCACCATTTGGGCTATGAGGTAAAACATGAATCAAGTACGAATCCAACTCCTGAAGCTTTGAACTTAGTTGTGGGCTAGCTCCTGTTACTCAAGGGCAGCTCAAGGGTGGCCAGAACATCCTCTTGATAAATGGCCAAGCACCATGCCAGAGCTGCATAGGAGATGCCCAGAGAGAGGCCAGAAGGAAGAGTCATTGGGCATCAGCTTTCAGAGGAGGAACTCTTCAGAAGGCTTTTGGGAGAGTCTGGGCAGCCATCTTTTTTTGCGTTGCAAGTTGGACCACTCCAAGAGCAGCTGAGAGCTGCCAGGGAAGATCCTGCTCTGGGTGCCATCACCATTGAGCAAATGCCATGGTAACTCACAGTCTTCTTGTTAGATGGAGTGCCGTGGCCAAAGAGCCCATCTCCCCTGCCTTTCCAGTGGAGCTACAACAACTGGTAGCCTTTCAGCATGGCCTTGCCATGTCTATGCACAGCTGCAGAAACTGAGCGCTGGACTGGGAGCTGGAACCCTGGTTGGTGTCTGACCCCTCCCCCTGTGCTCTATGAATTGGCTTGGAGAAAATGTGGTCTGTTCTTTAGAGGAACTTGCCACTTTGAAAAGAAGTGATTTCCAGGATGGGGAAGAGAACAGGGGTTGTGGAAGAAAGTCAGAAAGTAACATGTCTGGGTCAAGAGCTACCAAATACATGTCAGTTGAAGCCTCTTGTCCAGGAGAGCCCTGTGGGAATGGAATCTCTGGCAGCCATCTGAGAACATCCAGGTTAGCAGGAGGGCAGCTAAGCAAAGAGATCTGGGAACCCTTAGGGAGCAACCTGAGAACCAATGGAGGAGAGTGGAGGAGGCAGCTAAGTTCTGAGGACCATGTGAAGGGAAATAGTCTTAGCAGGAATCAGAAGACAGGGGATGCTCTCCCTCTAAGCTGACTAACGGGCAACTTCCCAGCTATCCAGCTATGCAGCGGTGGACATATATGCATTGATGTGAGCTGCTATATCCTGTTTAGGGCCTCTGGGTTTTACAGTATGAAGGGGAGTTTGTTTGATAACTAAAACAGTCTCACCAAGCGTAGTAGTACACATTCTCAGCACTTGGGAGGACTTAGGAAGAAAGATCGCCTTGAAAGAAAGGCTGGCCTGGTGTGAGAGACTGACAAGAAGAAGAAGAAGAAGAAGAAGAAGAAGAAGAAGAAGAAGAAGAAGCTTGCACTATTCTATATCAAAGCCAGCATGAATAAAGTATTATTATACTAAAGGGCCTGGTGGATCTAAGAACTATGATCAATTTTTTTAAACAATATATCATGAGTTCTTACAAGTGTAATGGGATTCCTCTACTCCTCTATATATGTTCGGGCACATAGACTTAATTACTTGTAGAATCAGATCTTGGCTTGGATATTGCAGACTGAGATTAGAAAGGAAACAGCATGTGGTAGGGAGTCCTAGAGGTGTTCCAAGTGACTGTCCCCCCTCAGGGACTGTCACCCTCCCTTCTTGGGATGTCTCTACATCTCTGGACAACCTGACATAGCTGTGAAATGGGTTTTCCGAGACTGTACTATATATGCAGCTGAGGTCCTTGGACTGCAGTGAAACAGCCACCCAGTGAGGTGACTGTGTGTCCTTAGGATGTCTTGAGGTCCAAGTATGCACACATAGGCTCTGCAAAGGACAAGTCTTGGAGCATTCTTGGCACCATAGGCTCTGACCTTTACTTGTTCCAAGTGAATCCTCTTTCCATGAGGACCAAAAAGTTCAAGGGAGGGAAGGGCAACTTGACAGTCTACGTTTCCCTTTGTCTGGTCCCCTTTCATTTCTGCTCCTATAGAGCAGCCACTGTCTCACTTTGCCATTGGGAAGCTTAGGAAAGAGTGGACTCATCTCTCAGGTTCCGCTGTATCAGTAATTGTGTCCACTTCAGTGTCCTGGGCTTGGGGTTGGGTGCTACTATGTAAGCCCAGCTCCATGCCTGGCTTGTATCTAGCTGTCAGTGGGAGTGGAGCTTTGGGACCACGGTATCCTGTTTCTCCCCTACACACTTAGAAAGCGAGGCTTAGACAGGGGTATGTGCTTGCTCCTGCTCACACAGCAGCTTGGCATCAGGCATAAGACTAAAACCCAAGCCTTACGGCAGGTGATTTATCCAGGGTGTTTCTTTCCCTCATGTTCCCTCCACCCTGCCAAGCGGTTCCTCTTTCTTGAAGCTTGCCAGATCCCCTGGCCTCAGCCTTACCTCTAGAGCCTAGGCTTGGAGGAAGCTCTGGGATGGTCCCCTGCAGATACTTTATGAGACATGAGAATGGGGAAGCTTGTGTCTGCAGTTTGAGAGACTCAGCCTGGACAAGGCATGGTTTCCCGGCTGCCACATCTATGCTCGTGGCTCCTGTCCACTCTTTCTGTATCTTCCTTTAAAAGTGGAAGTTGTACTTTACCAGACAAGAATGTTAAAATTCTCTGCTGACATTCACCATAAACAAGTGACCTACCTCCTGTAGTCACTTCCATGCTCAAAGCCTCTGTCTAGTCCCCAGTTTTCTCCTGGTTGAGACTTCCACAGTACCCCATAATCCCCAGGACAGCCTTAGAAGGGAACTGGAGAGAGAAGAATAGGACTAGATGCCATGTCATTCACTCAGAAATGTTCCAACAAGATTCCATAAGAACTAATAAGACATTATGAGTCTCCATACTGGCCCAGTCTCTGTGAAGTGGACTTCAAAGTCTTCAGGGGTAAAAAAAAAAAAAAAAAAAAAAAGTCAAAGGGGACACACAGAGCCCCCTTTTGAAGCATCATATTGGCTCAGCCAGCGGGCCTACCTCCTGCTGGTAACAGACCACAAACACCTGTCCCCTCTGTGTTCTTTACTCTTTCCCTGTGGGGCTTGTCCCTCCCTGAGCTCTATATCTTATAAGCTACTTATCTACAAGGTTACAAGGCAGAACCAGTGTGTCCTGGCACATGGCATGTTAGTGAAGTGAGTACGTACATGACTGGGAGAGACTGCTCTGGTTTGAGGAAGGCCAGGAAGGGACATGGGATTAGGCCCTAGTTAGGTGTCAGGTCAGGGTTTTTAGCTGGCTCAACAGCTTAGCATTCATTTGGAACTCCATTCTTCCAGGTGGGCTAAAATTCCATCTCAAGTCCAGGCATCCATCTATCTCCCCAAAACTTCTTTGCTTCCCTGGATTCAGGAGGGGTTAGAGATGTCTGGTCAGATCACTGTGTTATCATTCACAGATACATCTAAGACACTCTCTGCATCTTTCATGGGGCCTTTAGGTGGGTAGAAATCATTGTTTTCACTTTCTGGCCATCGTTCTGTCCTGAATTCATTCTGTCCTGTGACCTTTTTAGTTCCTGTTCCCAGCCTTGGCTTGTATGGAGAAAAAGCTAGCTCACTCTCACCCGCTTACTCAGTATTCTAAATTGTCTTCCCTTTTCTGTCTGCCTGACTTTTTCCTTCCCTCCTCAAACTAGCAATGTCCTTTTCAGAGCCTATGAAAAAGACTCCCATCTCCACTATTATTTATCAATGCCAAGAATCTTTGTTATCCCAAAGAGTCACATTTTAAAACTCAAAAAGCCAACTGTGTCTATATTAAAAAATGTAACAGTGTAACAAAAGCAGAAAAAGCCCCAAGCAAGAAGGGAAGAGCCAGGAGAAAAAAGAAATTGGTATATTCAAAGTCTCCTGTTCGACATGTTATTAACACCTTGTTTCCTGCGTCAAGGCTGTGGGTTTGCTACAAGTCCAGGAATATTCATTTGCTTATATCTATTCAAGTGACTATTTAGGAATGTCAGAAATGTTGGGACAATGATCATCATTTACCATAAAAGTCCAATGCTGGACAAAGTCTTAAGTCATTCCTAATCACCCGTCAGTCCAAATTCTGGCCATTAGGTGATACCATGTTTCTTGGTTATTTGTGATAGATTTTATTTCCTTCACTAAACATATGTTGAGTTTCCATTGCTATCAGCAGTGTGGAGGTATGTGAAGAGTGTCCCTGGAGTGGCTGGTTTTAGCTGGAGCATGGAAACCCTGGGGTCAGGATGCCAGGCAGCCTCAGACAGGCATCATCTTGTAACTTCTTAAGCACATAGGATTTCTCCTGAGGACCAAAGAGAACATGCAGAGGATTTTAAACAGGCTGGTAAACCTTAACTGCAGGTGACTAATATGGACTCACTTGGCTCCAAAGAAGGGACTTAGAAACAATCAACAAAGAGGGGGTGGAACCTGGGATTCCAACTTTACAGGAACAATTTCTGCATCTCTCGAATGGGAGTGTGAAGGAGGGCAGATGGGAGGGTATGGCTGTGAAAGCCCCCTGGCAGTTGCTCGGCTCTGTGGCTGTTAAGAGAATCAGATAGATTTGGAGAAGGAAGGGGGCCTGTAATTTCCTTGATCATGCTTTTTAGTGAAAGCCACCCAGAGGCTGTATTTTAATCCTCACTGTGGGATGCTGCCAAGTTTCCTGAGCTAAAAGATGCATGTATTTGTTCTCTGGAGTGAGTGCTCCCTCCCTGAAGCCCACACTAGCCCTTCAGCAGTCCTCTCTCCCTAACATCTTCTGTTGCCATCCTCATCCTCACTCAAAAAAGCTTTTGTACCTTTGCTAGGCATATGGCACTCCTCAGAGCTGGGGTGGTGGTAGTGTGGGGAAGCTGGCATCCCAAAAGTGTGGTGCATTCTCCACAAGGCTTGGTGTGTCCTCCAGCTACGCTGCAGAGAGCCCCCACTTCCAGCCTAAACCTGGGCTCGAGGGCGAGCAAAGTGGGATGGGCTCTGAGCCCAGATGGCAGAGCCAGAAGGAGGAAGTCCTGAACCCCATGCTTCTTTCTTGGTCTCTGATGAACACACACTCACCTGCAACCCTAGGCAGTGCCCTTCTTTGGCTGATGGTGGGAAGGCACCGGGTATAGAAGGCAACTGCTCTCAAGTGTGGGGTCAGCCCTTATATTGCTCCCATGCCTGGCATTGCTGCCTCATGGTGCTGTTCGTGACTTGGCCTGGGCAATGCTTCAAAACCCTGGTGGTGCTCTGGGGGGTGGGGGCTGCTCCCAGTCCTATGCTCCTCATACAAACAGCTTGTTTGGCTCCTCCATCCTGAGGAGGGGGTTTTGGTTTGTCCTTCTGCTCATGGACGGGAGAAGAGAGGTGAAGGCTAGAAAGAAGAGAGTCAGAGAGGAGGGGAATGGGTGGTAAGGGCAGTCCAGAGTCTAACAACACTAAGAAAGCAGCCATCGTGCTGTTGGCTTGAGAGTAGCCTGGGTTGCCGGATCTGTCTTGCACTGTGCTGTCTCTCTCTCCTTTCCCTCCCTTATCTCCTCTCTCTCCTGCCTTACCACTCTTCCTCCCTGTCTCTCCTCCTCTCCTCGTGAGCAGGCAGAGCCCGCCAGCAGCCCCCACTGTGCCCACTCTCGCTGCTCTCCTCCACTCTCTCTCCCCATGAAGGAAGAGACCACTGGAGTTTGCATGTACCCTCCAATCAAAACGAGGCTGGTAGGTACCCTGGCAGGGTGGGGGCCTGCTGGGACAGGTGAGGCAGCAGGAGCCCCAGGTGAGGCAGCAGCTGGATGGGTATGCAGAGGTGCCAGGCCCTCAAAGAGTCCTGCTATTGGGTGCTCTCACCCCTGGATGGTTGGGGGAATATGGGGTCCAGCTAGGGCTGGCCAAAGCAAGACACATAGTCTGATCCCACCCTTCCCTCCATGACTCTCAAGAAACAAGGGCCGTTTGCTTTCTGAGCACTTTGTTAAGGAAAGCGTATACTCTGGTAGTCACCGGCTATGGGCTTAAATGTCCTTTTTATAGCAAATAAAGTTTTCACCTCGTCTCCCCATTCTATCTGACATCATGACACACTGGGAGTGTCATGATAACTACCTGATAACTTAAAAGGAACCATCTTAATTGTAACCAAGCATATTTGTCGTCACTGCATGTTTTCCTTTATGTTTTCGTGTTAGTTCATAACTTCACCTGTTTAATGGCAGTAGCCACGCTGTCACTGTTTGCCTCCTTCTGTGTAGTACTGTGATGTTCCTGTCTTGTTCTCATTGCCACATCCTATGTGGTCATTTATACTCCATCAAGGTGTAATGTGGGCCTCAGCCCCTTCTGCTAGGAAGCAAGCCGTTTGTAACTTGTCACCGTTTCTGGGAACATGGAGCATTTTTGTGTCTGGGATTTTATTTACTTAGGCTAGACCCTGTTGAGTGATGTAGGATGCCTTTGGGTTTTGCCTTCCTCCGCAATGGCTCTAGAGTTGGAATGTGCCACCAGAACGCAGGGTGTTCTGCTGTACCAGCAAGCATTAGGGTATCATGGGACTACTGTAGCTTGCTTACACACAGCAGCGGAAGGCCGTTCTTTGAGGCGGCCAACTTTCACATTCCATTAGTAGCCATAAGGAAGCACATTCCCGTCTACTCCATTTGGCCTGAGAACTTATCTGCAGATTTCTCCTCACTATGGCATTTGTCTCAGAGTGCCAGGTTAACCTCTTAGACTGGACAAAGAGAATGGGAGAATATACTGGATGCTTTGGCCCAGGAGCCTTTGGGAGCTTGGGCTCATTCTGGTACGTTTGGAATATTTATTTGAACAGATTTGGCTGAAAGGAAAGCTGGAGTGGGCTGAACATCATAGCATATATATTGCAAGGATATTTTTGTCCCAAATACACCTGCTCTGCCTATTCAGAAAACTGTTCCTGATTTGGGATGGGGTGGTCTGCTTTGTCCCTGCTCCTCTCTCCCCATTAGAACAAGGTGAAAATGCCAAGGGAGCGTCCGAGAGTCCACAGACAAGATCCCATAGGACACAAACAGCTGTCCCTAGGTAGGGATGGCCACTGGGCATTTGCAACAGCCCTTGCTTGCACAGGTGTTCAGGCAGTTTCTGGGCCTGAGGACTACAGACAAAGCAAGTGTCACAGTCACCAGGCCTCTCACCATGCTGGTATATACTAGCTCAGATAAATAAGCCCTCTCATTTCCCAAGGCCTCCAAGAAGCCAGAGAGAAAATGAGGAAAGAAAGAAACAGAAGCCACGACTGAGTGCCTGCTGACTGGGGGCATCGTCCTCACTGAAATGAGTCACATTTCTGTGTTGCCACATTGGGTACTCCCAAGTACCGTATCTTCTGATCCCAAAGACCACACCGGTGAGGTGTTCCATGCTTCCACGGGCTCTCCTCAGGAGTTCTGCTTAAATTGTGCAGGGGTTGAACAATGCAAGTCATTTGACAGCAGCTGAGGTATATTGTGTCTCCAGCAGACATTCAGGCACCTCTTGCTATATCCCACAGCTGTGAAGAAACTCTCAGAGGCCACCCCAGGTACATTGTTATCTACCTTGAATGTAGCCTTTTCTAAGGCAGTCTTGGGACACAGGCCAGAAAGACCCTATAAACAGAGTTCCAGGGGAGGCAAACATGCCTTATGACCCAGGCCCAGACAGGCCTGCCTCCTCCACTACGGTGGGATACAGGCTCCTAAACTTCCCAGGATTCTTCCTCTTGACTCTAAAGGTGTACAAGCAAAGACTTCAAAATGTTTTCTACCTGGTGATAACTCCTTGTCTTCCTATTTTCTTTCTTTCTTTCTTTCTTTCTTTCTTTCTTTCTTTCTTTCTTTTTTTTAAGATAAAAACGTTCCCAGCAGAACCAGTGATGAACCCATTTCCTGATCCCTTTACCACAGGGCCACAGTTCACTGTAAGTAGAGCCGTACTGTAAGCCTTGGCTTCTCATGGGGGAAGGCTGCAAGGGCGAGGGGCACTGGCAGTGTGGTCTGTCTTTATTGAGAGAAGACTCACAGAAAAGTAACCATATTAAAGGACTACTTGGCAGCATTTACTGTAGTTATGGAACAGTGACCTCCTTCCAATGGTACCACAACTTTTTTCAATCTTTTCTTTCCACTATGTTCCCAGTTTATTCAGTACTCACAAAATGCAAAGATTATGTAAGACTTAGTCCCGCCTTTTTTAGCTTGGGTATATATGTGTGTGTGGAAGCCATAGGTTGATGTTGAGGGTCTCTATTGAGACCTCTCTATCTTATTTGCTGAGGCAAAGACTTGCCAAACCCAGAACCCACCAGTTCTATTAATCTAGCTGGCCAACTTGACCCAGGGATCCCTGGTAGAATTACAGGCAGGCCATCATTCCAGTCCAGCTTTTTGTGGGTGCTGGGGAATCTGAGCTCCGGTTCCCCACGTTTACACACCCTCTGAACCATCTCCCCCCCCCCCCAGATCATTTAGGCTTCTTAAAAATTAAATTTTAGTTTTAAAAGGTTTTATACAAGTGTTTATTGTAGACTGAGTGCATTCTCCATTGCCACGCCCCTCCCCCGTTACTCCCACTAATCCTCTGTGTCCCATTAGTTTCATGTCTACTTTTAGGGTCTTCTTGTGTGGTCCAGGCTAGCCGTGAGTTTACATGTCTTGTGTCTCAGCGTTGTCTGCACCGGGATTGCAGGCATGTACCCTCACATCTGGCTTACTTACATTATGTTTATTTCACCCACTCTGCACTTAGCCTTTTCTCCCTGGCCCCAGCCTCTACCAGTCACCAGTCTGAACTGTTGGACTCATGGATTCTGGATATTTTCCATAAGTGGATCTTATTTTATGAGACCTTCAGTGTTGACATTTTCCTTTCTTTCTTCCTTTTCAAAAAATATATTTTTTTTTCAAGACAGGATTTCTCTGTGTATCCCCAACTGTCCTGGAACTTGCTCTGTAGATCAGGCTAGCCAAGTGCTGGGTTTAAAGGCATGCACCACTACTGTCCAGCAATTTTATTTTATTTTATTTTATTTATTTTTGCTTAGCATCATGGTCAGGTCCATCCAGTTTGGAGCCTGAGTCTACACTCCTTTCTGTTTATGGTAGAATAGTATTCTGCAGTATGGTTCCCTGAACGTTGCTTGTCCTTTGACTTCTTCATGGGGATCTGGGTGCTGTCCACTTTTGGACACAGGGCTATTGTGTGTGCTCTGTACTTGTTTTCAATTGTTCTGGGTTGAATCTGCATCTTGATAATGGTGTGTGGTCTTAGGTAAGTCACCTTACCACACAGACCATCTGCTTTCACTTGTGAGTATGTGCACACACACATGCAGATGTTTGTGTGAGCGAGTGTGAGATGCACTGTGTGTGTGAGAGCGCGCGCGCGTGTGTGTGTGTGTGTGTGTGTGAGAGAGAGAGAGAGAGGGAGGGAGAAAGAGACAGGCAGGCGGAGGAAAAATGCTTTAGATACCATTTCTTTGGTGCCATCCACCTTGTGCTTGACACAGCCCTAGAGCTCCCTGACTTAGCTAGGCTGGGTGGGCACTGAGCTCCAGGGGTCCTCCCCTTTCCATGTCCCCAGTGCTGGGATCACAAGCATGCACAACGGCACATGCTTATTTAACATAGGTTCTGGAGATAGAACTTGGGTCCTCATGTGTAGCAAGCGCTTTACCTACTAAGCCACCTCCCTAGGAATAGCTTCTCTGAAACACTTACCGAAGGGACTGGGATCCAAAAGCACTGTCATAATACAGTTATTTCTGAAGTGCCTGTGATGAGTGCTGACACTCCAGGCTGCGGAGACAGCGGTACAGAGACCAGGATCACGTCCAAGTCCTGGTCGTGGAGTCCTTGTACCACCGAGCTCTCCGTCTCCAACATTTTTAAAGATTTATTTCTTCTATTTTATGTGTATGAGTGTTTTACATGCATGTATAGATGTGTACCCCATGTGTGCCTGGTACCCACAGAGGTAAGAAGAAGGCACTGGGTGCCCTGAAACTGGAGTTACAGATGGTTGTGGACCACCATGTGTGTGCTGGGGACCAAACCCAGGTGCTCTGTAAGAACAGGAAGTATTCTTAAATGCTGAGCCCTTTCTCCAGGCCCTTTTCTAAACATTTTAAATGTCATATTTCCTTCCTCTCTAGAATGACGGCAATGGTTATTTCCAAACTTCTTTTTAGCTACCCAACTATTCTTCCCTGGAAGTTTCTTCAGAATCCCACTTTATAGTGAGCAGAAGTGGGGCACCACAGTTCTTCCCTACCTTCTCTCCCTCCTCAGCCTGCCTAATTGTGCTCCCTGAGCTCATATAATCCATGAGAGTCTCTTTCAAGGGCTTCTGTCTTCTCTGGAGGATATCCAAGGGTCCTGAGCTACAGCCCTGAGTAGTGATTTAGGTGATGGTTACTGCCTAAGGAAGCTCCAGCCTATGGCGTGGAAGGAGGGAACATTAGCTCCTTTAGGTTTTAACAGATGAACAGAGGTGAGAAGGTTGTTGGCCACCTACATGCCGAGGCAAAGCTAGGTGCACAGAACATGTTTTTCCTAGGGTCAAGAGCTCATTTCTAGGCCACTTTAATGAGAGGACAGAGCTACCGGGGCCATGCCAAGATGTTCGGTACCATTGCCCTGATGCTAATACAGCTAGCCCACCCTGTAGTTCTGCTGGACACAGCTCCCCAGCTCGAAGTTCTGTTCCACTTCTTTCATTTGGCCATGGTGGGACACTCTGGCCTCCTGCCAGCCTTGGCAGCGATGAGACACCCAGGGAAGCCCTTCCTGAAAGCTGAGGGCACAGATGGAGCTGGAAGCCAACGTCAGCAATCACACTAGGACTTTTAAGAACTGGGCAAGAGTGGCTCAAAGGCAGCCAGAGCAGACAGAGGGGACAGCATGAGTCCCGGGGAGGGACAGGCCACCACACATTCAAGGGGCTGAAAAGAAGGTCAGGGAACTGGAATATAGAAAGCAGGAGCCTGGGATGTGAGAAGAGGAAGAGATGGTGTAGAAGCAAAGCGATGCCTGGTCCTTTCTCAGCAGTGATGGGAAGCCTTCAGAAGATGTTAAAACAGGGCAGCGGCAGGGCAGGTGTTTTTAGAAAGCATCTTTGTGATCACAGTGGGAGAACATTTAGGTCCAGACAGATCAGGTTTAGAACAGGTTTAGTCTAGAAATAAATCTAGGACAGTAGCTTAATAGAGAGGGTGCAGAGAGCTTGTCCTTGAGTGATTTTTTTGATGATAGAGGTGGGGAGAAGTATACAGTTGAGGGAGATATTTAGGAGGCTGGTAAGATACTGATGAGGGAGAGGGACAGCCAGTTGCCAGATTTCTGCTTTCCAGTACTTATACAGTGAGTCCATTCACTGACATTTCCATCACTGTGGGAACGGTCCTGAGAAAAACAACTTGAAAAAGGGAAAGACTCACTGTGGCTCACTACTTTAGAGGTCTCAACAGGTGGCCAGTTAGCTAGATCCATTGTCTTTAGGCCTGATATAAAGCAGAGACAGCATGGTGGAAGGGCATGGAAGAGCAAAGGTGCTCTCATGGCAGCAAGGAAGCAGGAAGTGGCCAACGAAGGGCCTGGGGACAAAATAGATCAGCACCCCCAGTGATCCACTTTCTTCTCCTCAAACAGTACCACCTGCAGTTATCCACTTCCTCCAGGGAGCCCCTACTTCCCAACAGCCCACTCGTTAGTTCCTTGTCCCAGGCTCTAGTCATTTCTCTCTCAATATGGGGACTAAGCCTTAAACAAAGGAGCCCTTTTGGTGGCCCCTTCATATCTATGCCATATGAGTAAGTGCCTGAAAGCAGGCTGGACTGTGAGACAGGGCAAACCTGTGTGGTGATTCACCTTTGGAAGACTTGGCTGGAAACAAGGAATGGGCTGTTAGGGAGTAACTCAGGGCTGGGGAATAGATGAGAGGGAAGACAGCAGTATTAAGAGTTGGTTGGAAACAGAAGCCAAAGCTGTGGCCTCAGGCTTTTTAGTTTTCTCACTCCTGCATGAGGTCACTTCTTCTACCAGGGATAAGCACTTAAACACTCTTCAGGCCTCCAGACCCGTCCTGGCTGCAGCCATGGGTCTTCAACAGCTCTAAAGGATTCTGCACAGAGTTGAACTGGGAATGGATCCGGTCCCTGTTGGACCCTGAGTGTTCTGAACTGATTCTCACAGAGAACGTTGACACAAATCAACCAAGCGACCTCTGCCAAGTCATGATGTTAGATTTCCATACTCATAGCCTAAAAGTCACTCTATCTAGACCCACATTTCTCTGAGCTGGATCACAGAGAGAGCGCCTGTCTGCGGCTGGCCCAAGTTTCTCTTCCTAACCTAATGTGTTCTGTTGCCTCCTTTGCATGCCAGAAGAGAGCGTCAGATCCCAGTATAGATGGTTCGGAGACACTCTGTGGTTTCTGGGACTTGAACTCAGGAACTCTGGAAGAGCAGACAGTGCTCTTAACCGCTGAGCCATCTCTTCAGCCCCCATTTAGCAGATATTTTAAAAGATAAGTGTTAGGACTTAATAAGAAAATTTGTTAGGACTTAATAAGAAACTGGCTCCTTCAAGATCATTGTTAAGTGTGTCTGGTTCCCCTGCCATCTCTACGTGGGACACACACCCATAAGGGGTGCCACGAGTGCTGACATAGTTGGGACCTTGGCACTTAAACGCACCTGAATATTTGCACCACTGGTGTACATGTCCCTCAGAAGCAGCCTCAGAAGCCCACCTGTCACCCGCTCACTGAAGCGATGCAACCTCCGATTAGCCAGCTGCCACAGCACTCAGGCCAGGCTTTTAAACAACACATGGAATTGCTTTCCTGAGCATGCAACCCATCTATCACAGGCAGACTGAAGCTCAGCTCTGTGTCGCCCAGGCGAATAGGCCAGCTGCCTGCCAGTAGAGCATCACCGGACACAGAGGCAGAAGGGAAAAAGCGGGCCACATCCTGGTCCCTAAAGTGCTCAATGGGAGGAAACAAAAGAACCTATGTCCTATTCCACTGGACAGGGCAGAGAGCATGGTCACTCTAACTTTCGAAAAACAGATGAGAGCTCATCCTGCTGTGTGCCTGTAGAGTTGTGGACCAGAGTGACCCAACAAACAGTACCAATGAACATCGCACGCATGTCTCTGTACCAGGCCTCACATGCTAGGCAAGCATGTATGCTCTTGAACATGTGACGTACTGGCATGCAGAGCTGCTTCTCCAAAGTGGCATCCGGCAGAGACCCAACAGCAACCATTCGGTGTTTCTTCATTTCAAATAGGTTAGTCTCCCTCTGAGGGGATAGATGTAAGGCACAAAAAGAGTGTTGTGCTTCCCCACCGCAGGCTTTTAAAGGCAGCTCGGCTTCTGTACCATCCCCAAGAAGGGAATTATGCAGTCAAAGATCAAAGCCTCTTTAGAAAGCTGGGTGGTAAAATTTTCCAAATTCAGGGTCAAGAACCAGCATTTAAAAAAATCAAGTATACACACACACACACACACACACACGTATATACACAGATATAGAAATATATGCATGTATGCATATATGTGTATGTGTGAGTGTGTGTATTATCAAAAAGATTTTAAAAAGAAAATAGAAAAAAAGAGGGGACGGAGGAGCTAGCTCTGTGCTTAAGAACACTGGCCATTCTTTCTTTCCTAGAACTTAACACCGGGGCTCACAACCATCTGTAACTACAGTCCCAGAAGATCCACCACTAACCTCCCGGGTACCAGGTGGTCACGCAGTGCACACGGCCACATGCAAGCAAAACATGCATGTATATAAAATAAAATAATCAAAAACCTTTAAGCATACAAAACCAAAACTACACATGAAAAACGGTTGGCAAATATATTAATGACAGCAGTAAGAGATTATAAAATGTCTTCATTTCTATTCTTTTGCTGTTTACTTTGATTTTGGTTTTATTGAGACTCTCACTGTGTTGTCCAAACCCTCCAGCACTCTCAGCTTCCCAACAGCTGCTTCTGTTCTTACACATTCTGTGTAAAGGTAATAAGCGTATTTTCCTTTGTAAATGGCAAGAGATTTTTCTCTCTGAACTAGTTCTAAAAATGCTGTGTATTTGAAGCATCTGGAAATCTTGTGAGAGCCTACCATGCTGGGCTTTCTGGCACCAAGGCCTGGAATAGAGCCTGCGCATTTTAAACAAAGTTTCAAAGCAATGACAATGTTGCCGATCTGGGGACCATATTCTGGATCCACTGTGGTGCTTTATTGATGAAGAATATTATTAATGCATTCTGCAAACTCTGCTTCTGAATACAGCTTGTGTGTGTGTGTATCTGTGTGTCTGTGTGTGTATTATGTATCTATGTGGATGTGTGTACTTGTGTGCAAATATGCCTGTATGTGTGCGCATGTAGATGTGTAAATGCCAGAGATCAGCATCAGGTGTTTTCCTCAATCACTTTCTACCTTTTTTCCCCTGAACATTTATTTTTATTTATTATGTGTACAATGTTCTGTCTGCACGTACACCTGCAACCAGAAGAAGGCGCCAGATCTCATTACAGATGGTTGTAAGCCACCATGTTGTTGCTGGGAATTGAACTCATGATCTCTGGAAGAGCAGCCAGTGCTCTGAACCACTGCGCCACCACTCCAGCTCCCTCTACTGTATTGATTGATTGATTGATTGATTGATTGATTGATTGATTGATTGAGAAAGCAGCTCTCCCTGAACCTGGAACAAGTCCTAAGGGGGCCATCTTGTCTCTGCCTTCCCAGTGGTGGGATCACAGAGGTGTCTGACTTTTCATGTGGGGGCTAGGGACCTGAACTCAATGCCACATGCTTGTGCAGGAAGCACTTTACTGACAGACCCGCCTCCCCAGGCCCTGAATACTGTTCAAATTACTTCTTGGAGCCTCGAGATGGCTCAGTAGGTAAAGGCTTTTGTTGCCAAGCTGATGACCTAAGTATGTTTGATTTCTGGGACCGACATGGTAGAAGAGAACTGACTCCCACAAGTTGTAGTCTGGCCTCCACATGTTACATGCCACACACACACACACACACACACACACACACTAACAATTACTTATTGGAAGGCTTAAACCAGTGGTTCCCAACCTTCCTAATGCTGTGACCCTTTTAATACAGTTCCTCTTGTGGTGGTGACCCCAATAAATTTTTTATGGATACTTCATAATTGTAATTTTCTACTATTATGAATAATAATGTAAATACCATTATTTTCTGATGATCTTAGAAGACCTTAATGGGTCGTGACCCACAGGTTGAGAACCACTAACTTGAATTCCCTAAGACTCACTTTTCTTTTCCATAAAAGCAGTTCTACGGTGTACGTTTTTCGTCTTTTAATGCTGTGAAGTCAGAATGTTTGTCTATGTATTTATTTTCATGTTCGGGCGATTGTGTGTGAGTTCTTATGCACCGTGTGCATGCAGTACCTCCTGCTGTCAGAAAAGGGCATCGGATCCCCTGGAACCTGAGTCGCTGGTGGTTGTGAGTCATTATGTGGGTACTGGGTACTGAAGCCGGGTTCTCTGCAAGAGCAGTAAGTGCTCCTAACCACTGAACCATCACTCCAGTCCCCAAATCAGAATGTTTGCTACAAGACACAACACAACAGTGTATGAGTGCCACGTTTCGCTTTTCCTGCGGCACGCACGAAAACGGCAGAGCTCCCGAAGGATGGTCTCTAAGATGTGGTGACAGATGATCTCTGGCTTAAAAGGTTGTCAAGAGGTAATGTATGGAAAGTGCTTAGCCTGGTGTCTGGCTCAGAGCAGGATCATTTAAAATGACTTGAAAATGTGTGATGGCTTTAGCTATTACTAAAACACAAGCACTACAGTGAGGCCCAGAGAGCTGACAGTATGACGACGGGCCTGGAGATTGAGCTCTCTTTTCTGTTTTCTCTCCAGGCAGACTTTAGAGAGAACAAATTACAGTGCTGTCCTGGCCAGTCTTCTCCTCTGATTCCAACAGTGACGCTGCGGCCACTGACTGAGACCGTGTCCACAGTACAGACCATCTACACCTCCCGGAAGCCCGTCTCTCTGGCAGCCAGGTGAGCCAGATAAATAAGAACCTCCGGTAGCCTGGCCTCAGGGAGCCGGACCTGGACTCCAGCTCTCCTTGTCTGTGACTCCGTAGACACTCATTCATTCTTTATCCTAGTGTGTGTGAGTGTGAGCGTGTGCACGTGTACATGAGAGTGTGTATATGGAGGCCAGAGGCAGACATCAGGTGGCATCATCATCAACTGTTTTTTTTTTTTTTTTTTTTTTTTTTGAGCCAAAATCTCTCGTTGAAATGAGAGTTCATGAATTTAGTTAGGCAAGCAGGCCAGTGAGCTGTGGGGATCTCCTTGTTTCTATTTCCCCAGCTCTGGAATTACAGAAACATCACCTTTGCTTGGCTGCTGGGGACCTGAACTCCAGTCCTCGTTCTTTTATGGCAAGCATTTCACTGACTGAGCTGAGCCACCTTCCCAGTCCCTCCTTTTCATTTTCCCCTTCACTTATCCTGTAAGGTCTCCGGGAGGTGCAAGGGCTGCACAGTGAGCCAAACAGATAAAGCCCTGCCCTTCCGGAGTTTGCGCTTTTGTGCATGGGGGTTGGAGAAGCAAACAAACAAGTGTGTGTGTGTGTGTGTGTGTGTGTGTGTGTGTGTGTGTGTGTGTG